TTTTGTTGTTGTAATTCTGTCTCTCACTGTTCAAATAAACCTTCCATTAAAATTATAGACTGATCATTTCTTTGTCAGTGGGAAAACGTACAAAATCAGCAGGGGATCAAATACTTTTTTCCCTCACTGTAGGCCCTGGCACAAGACCTGAAATGGGGGTCCTTCTCTCCAATGTCCCCCACCTGGACCCTGGCCCCCTGGTGCAGTTGCACTGCCTGCACACCGCGTCACGCGCTTCCAGGTGCACTTCGGCGGCCGTCTGGAACGCTCTTGCTTCCGATATTAGGAAGCCACTGGCGCTTTACACTTTTAAAACGTCTAGATTGACAAACGAATTTCTTTAGAACTGCTTTTGTGTTTAATTTGTTGTCCTTCTCCGGCACTTCCGATTAGCATGGGTGGCTACATACGGTGCGAAAGAAGTTCAACGTACATACATGCAAACACTGACCCTGGTGCATAGCGAAAGTTCTAAGTTTGGGAAAATCAATGAAGAGGTGAGGAACCAGAGTGAGGCGAATCTGGGGGAGTGGCAGCAAATGCACGACTCACGAGGGCTTCTCTCCACAGGCACACGGAACCTTCCCCGCTCAGTATAATGGGCCATGGGCATGTAACAGTGCATACATTCATCGATTAAAATCGATTCTTACGCGCACACACAATACGTGCATAAAATCATGACGGTAAGAATGTATTTCTCTTTCCGGTGTGTTTCCGAGTCGCGCTGCGTGCTGTTGTTAGGCGCGATGTGCGACGTCTTACTCCACGTCCTGGGAGCTTCGGCGGGAACTGGATGAATGGTTCCCGATGAAGCCCCTAGGACGTGGAGCGAAACGTCGGACGTCGTGCCGAACACCGCGTGGTGCGACCCCCAAAATACAACGGAGAGTTGTAAAGCCGAACCGCAAAAAAACATCTGCAGTTGTAAGAATGTGTTATTTTATTTTCATTCATGATCTTTGCACGTTAAGTTTATCATAAAATAATTCTAATTTTCAGTTATTTTGTCAGCCGACTACATGGATGTCGGCCTCCGTTTCCAGTCAATCATGGAGGTTGCTTGACCAAACTGCACCATGCTGGCCGCCGTGGGTTCACGAAGGGGCAAGAGAGAGGGCCCATGACCAGACAAACGTTGCACTAATGTTAGTCGTAGCAGGAAATCATCATCGATCTCAGGTCTCCGCGTTCACAGTGCAGCATGCTAACCACTGCGCCACCACTCGAGCGGATCGTGTTTTTGTGCGTTATCCATCCGATAGATTTTACGTGCACTACAAGGGCATGAAATAATCAACTTGAATTGTACGTCATAGATTGGGCCAATCGTAACAAGGCTAATAGGTCGGCGGATGACGATATGTTTTTTTGAAGATCAACGTTATCAAAAGACTCGCGCGTGTTGTTGGCGAAATGGCTGTCACTCTTGCGGTGGCTTCAGATAATCTGATCTTTGTGATGGCGTGAAACTCGCCAATACTTCACCAGGACCCTTTCATTCATTCGAATTGCAGGAACATATCCCCTCTGTACAATTGAAATGCTGCTATGGCTTCTTGTAACCCCAACGTAACATTCGTAGTACAAACATACCTTGCATACCATGCTGAGAGAAAAACACATCCTTATAATGGTCTATGCATTGTGGGTATCGCTTATTTCAAGTAAAATATAGCTTTGTAAAGTGGTAGATTCCATTTAAACTAAAAAGGGATTAATTATAATAGTTATTATTTTTACATGCCAGTGGTGTTTAAAGACCTGAGTTTTCTGGGCAGGAAATTATCAGTGTAAATTTTAAATGGTATCTTCATTACCATGTTAATAAAGCAATATGAATTCATGCTATTTGAAGTCTTTTCGTTAAAAAACCCCATCATTCAGCAAATATATGTATTATTAACAATTGGCACCATTGTATCAACACTTCTTACTAATTATGTGCAGCATATCAAAATAGATGAAACAGTTTGTATTTTGTAAGCTATATCATTATTTAGCAGAACTGTCCTTGCTGGTATATACTCTTTTTATGGTGAAACAGTTAATTCATAGAATTGAAGAATTGACATACCACATTCTTTTTAAAGAATGCTGTATCATAATGTTTTTGACTGCTTTTTTTATACTAAAAAAATATTCCAGACGTCATTGTCCCATGTTGAGGGACGGGATCGTCACATCATCAGAAACTAAGCCATATCTAAACGTCTGCGTATAATCGTACCAATTCTACCAAACACTCCAATAATGATTGAAAGCTGCCCAAAATAACTGGAAAAAAATATTCACGGCTATCTTTGGGAAGGAGGGGGAGGGAAGTGGAGGTGGGGGGGAGGGGGTTGTAGGAGGTGGGGTTAGGAATAGCAAATACCATGCAAGTCGCCACTTAATGTTGTGCAGATTGTGAAAAAAAATTGCATCCTTTTGTATTTTCAAAAAAAAACCCCCATCATCTTTATGGCCTCGTTTCCGTCTCTGCGAGAAAACAAATTGCACGCTTCGTAAAGTGTCAGCCAAAATGATTTTTTTTGTGCTCCCCATGGCTTCAATCCCCTTGTATTTGTCATGATCAGCGGGAGCTGACGTACGAATCCAGCAATGCGTCGTTCTGTGGACACGTCGAGCCTGCCAACTGCCACGGTCTAAATCGTCGGGCGTGCACAAAACAAAAGAAACATCCGAAGTAAAAAGCGTTCACGCAAGTGATTACAGATTAACATTAAGCGCCAATGGCGGGCCAATGGGTGAAAAAGAACGTGAGACAACATTTACGCTTTTTGCAATAACAGTCGAGTTGTATTGCCCGCCGCTCGTTAAAAAAAAGAAACAAGGGGCATGCTGGTGTCGCGATTGTACCGTGTACAACACGTGCCTACATCTTTTATCCCCTTCATGCGGTCACGTTGTACCGCATCCACGTTTGTAACCACATTTCTGATAAAATGAGAAATTCCGCCCCCCTCCCCTCCGCTGTGTGTGTGCAGTTCGTCTCTTTGTGAGTTACATCCAAGAAAGAAATGTTGTTTGAAACCAATGGCGGAGCCAGGATTTTCAGGTAGGGGGGGGGGGGGCAACCCCTCCAGCAATGAAACATGATAGAGGAGTTGTTAGTAAGTAAGGAGTTGTCCCTTGCTTTTTATTCGACGCGTGTGCGGCGATGGCGCAGCCATCGATCGAGGGTCGAATTCGAACCGCGTCGTGTGATCGGCATCGCGCTCGCTCAAGGTGAATGCCTTCAAGGAAGTCGTGTACTGTATACGCAACTGCGCACTATTCTGGGTCACTTATAACTGCTTTACCGTTACAAATTGCCAATTATGGACTCAGACTATTGTCCTATCATCTCATAGAGTTCCCTGGCACGTAATAATATGCTACACAGTGGCAGTGGGGGTCGCAAGATGCCGATTTATTACTAATAAACCCCAATGATCCGATCGAAATTAGGGATTTCGATCGGATCATTGGGGGGCACGTGCCACCCCCCCCCCACTGGCTCCGCCAGTGTTTGAAACGAACGTCTCTCGCTGTGTCTAACCAACGCTTAGGTTACACTTTCGTCATGCTCATCTTTCTTTGTCGCCCACAATCTTACAGACCACACACACGCCGTAAGCTACCCACCAAAGAATGACAGGAGAGCATTGACGGTACGAGGACGTTCGCATCAGACGCTGGCTGATTCATCTGGTAAAGTGAAAAAAATCTGGGTTTTGTTTTTTCAAAAGCAAGCCACGGTGATGTTTCCACATGTAGATTGGTTCTAAAAATAGCATTGGCATACATTAATCTCGCTCGCTCTGAGTCATATGGCAAACGCAATGATAATTGTTTTTTGCATTAACAATATAGGCTTAAGTGCAGTTTGGCTGTGGTTATTTCGACAATATAAACCTATTTTATAAGCCAGTATTGACACGAGTGTATTGCAGACAAGACTACGCTTCTACATTTCTTAGTTTTTCCCCAGCCTTTGAAAACTATTTACTTATTCAATGTTGATGTACAGCGCCTTTTGAGTACCCTTTTAGAAAAGCGCTTTATCAATGAAATGTAAGATTAAGATTTATATATATAAAAATGCAACTCCCTGAATCACATCCCGATCTATGTCTGATTCCGAGCACTAATAAATGAAGCCCACACTCTTAGCTTCCTCCTATCCATAGACAATGGCAGCCCGGCTGTCAAAACACAGATAATAACCCGAGCTCAAAGAAGATTATCCATGAGGCAAGCGTTAATGCAAAGCCTGTTTGTTTTTGTGATATACGATTCTTGTGGAAATTAAATTAAATAAAACAACGGTGGTGGCGGTGATGGGGGGGGGGGTAACATTTACAGCCAGTGGCACTTCGTTTCCTCGAATTGCCTCGGCGATGAGGTCCATCTCGGGGCTTCTGGTGTCGGCTGACAGCACGCACCAGGGAGGAGACATTGACAAGTGGCGACGTGAATGCAACGTGCGGGTGAATAACGCGACCGGTGCTGGACACCCACCAGGACGGCTCTCCTGGGGAAGTGCTTCCGATCATGAAGCCACACGATCACCAGCGCGTTCCGATTCCTCGACGGATCCCAGCTGCACGAGTGGCGAGAATGTTGACTACCTCGCCTGGCGTGCAGGAGGAGGGTGGCGGCTTCGATTCCGACCCTGGGGCCTGTTGTATATTTGGAGTTCACGTCTTCTCTCCGTTGCTCGCGGTGGATTTTTCTCTGGGTTCTCCCCCCTCAGTATTTATAATGAAGATGCGTTTAAGAGTAATTTGGCTGCCATGAATTTCCCCTCGATAAGCCACTTCGTTGAGTTATCATTTCGTGGACAAGTCGCTTCTGAAGAAAGAAAAAGCGTGGTATCACCCAGTGGGCCTTACCTGGCACAAAATTAAAACTCGAGTTATAGTTTATCAGCAACAGGCCAGAAACAACGCGCGGGGGGGGGGGGGGTGTCATTGCCTCTGCAAAATCTCCCCACCACCCCCTCACCCCGGGGCGCACAAAGCCGTCGCTTGCACGCAAAACCAGTGGCCAACCGAGACGCCGCCACCACCGCCACCACCACCCCTTTCTGCCACTCGCGGCGTCTCACCTATCCTCGCTGGTCTCCGCCAGCCGGTTGTTCATGATGGCCAACGCCCCGACGCCCGCTGCGAATCCGTTCTCCCGCCCGAGCGAGTGCGAGTGCACGGGCGAGCAGCGGTGCGCTACGCGGTGGTGGTGCCCGTTCGCCGCCTCCGACAGCTGCTTCTGCATGAGCGCCAGCGACACCTTGTTGGACGCCAGGAAGTCCTTCATGGAGATGAGCTCGCCCGAGAGACGACGCCCGTCCGTGTCGCTGTCGTTGCCCGCGCCGCCGCCGTCGTACCGACGGGGGCCCGGCGCGGCCACGGTCTCTACGCCGCCACCGCCGGCCCCACCGGCGGCGTTGTTGTTGTTGCGGCGTCCCCGCGGCACGCCGGGCATGACTGCGTTGCGCCGCTGGTTGCACGCGCGTAGCCTCGGCCGGCGTCGGCACAGGCGCCTGCAGTCGGCTTTGTGCAGCATCCACGTGAGCGTCTGCTTGATGACGATGGAGAGGACGTTGAAGAGCGAGTAAATGCAGCAGACGCCGGCGAGGATGAAGACGATGTTGCCCACGCGGTACCACGTCTGGTGGTCGTAGAGGTCGCGCTGGCCGGTCACGAGGTCGCCGAAGCCGATGGTGCTGAACGCCACGAAGCAGAAGTAGAGCGAGTCGACGTAGCTCCAGCCCTCGACGGCGGCGAACATCGCCGAAGCGGAGCACGCGATGACCACGGCGGCGATGCCCAGGATCATCATGACGTGGTAGACGGACGGCTTCCAGCCGGCCAGGCACTCGATGGTGTCCGACTGATCGGACGCCTTGCGTCCCGGCTGGATGACGAGCCGATTGATTTGCCGCCGGTGGCAGGAGCGCATGACGCACGCCAGCAGCGTGATGAGCCGCTCCAGGAAGAGGTTGAAGAAGAGGATGCCGGCGGCGCAGCCGAAGAGTCCGTAGAAAATGAGGAAGATCTTGCCGCTCACCGTCGTGGGCGTCGTCATGCCGAAGCCTGTGCCGGGTGGTGGTGGTGGCGGGCGGGGGGTTACAGAACGCGACGTCCGTGGGTTAACGGGGATGGTGGTGATGGTGGCGGCGGTGGTGCACCGCACCAATGCTTTGTCACTCCCAACAACAACAACAACCACCGTCATTCACCACTAAGTGGCGGGGATGTCGCCAAGGCGCTTGTGCCAGGCTAGGTGCACTTTAAGGTCAACGCCACAGCAGTTGCCACCTCCCCCCCCACTCTGCCACAAGCCGAGCAATTAATACTTGGATACTTGCGTAAAAGCAAGGTTGGCTACATATCGTGCGAAATAAGTTTAACGTAAAGCAGGCTGCTTTCTCTCGTGTAGGTCAATCAGTTTCAACGACAATGCATACATTTTCAGAGCATGTTTGTTTGCATGTATTGCCACAAGTACGTGTGGTGACTGTAGACTTGATGCCTTGCAAAAGGTAACTATTTGGTGTTTGAACATTTTCACACCTGTATTATTGCCATCATTTTTATACTGGCAAAAAAAGGTCCCATAGATGCAACAATCCATATCGTAACCCCTGCACACGATTTGAATAATCCTAGTTACATGCTCATGGCGAGTTCTCTTTTTGGCAAAGCAATAATCATAATGGACATTCAATCATCGCAAATAATTCCGTGCAGGACTCACACGGCGTATATTTGAGCTCAGCAACCCTCCCACCAACCCCTCAGGATATTTTTAAGCCCATTGCTATACCCCCCCCCCCCCCCCCGCCTATAAAAGATGCCCCCTTCAAAAAAAAAAGGTCCAGAACAATTTACTGCGTGGCCACCCATTAGTAACCCCCCCCCCCCCCCCCATCAAGCACTTAGGTAAATCCTACACAGGAATTAATCACAGCCTGCTGTTAAACTTCTTGGGGAGCAGTGGCACGGCGATTGGCGCACTGCATTGTGGATGCGGTGACGTGACTTCGAATCCAAACCTTGGGTAACTTTGGTGGCGAGAGACATCTGAAATGGTCATGGGGGACCGGGGGGGGGGGGGGTCTCTTGACCAGCGTGGTGCAGTTTGGTGAAACAATTCCCGTGACTGACGCGGCATTTGGCGACGTCCATCCAGCAGTGGCTTGAGCAAGGACTGTATATTATTTATTTATCAGCAACTGGCCAGATGGCACAGCCATACATTAGATGCCTTGGAAATGGAATGGTGTGAGTCCAAAAAAAACTCTGTGCCTCAATATTCTGGGGTGTGGGCAATTCAGATGCGATTTTTTTTCTTTGAAAAAACTCGGCCTTCCCATAGGAATGTGGAAATAAACACACACTCACTTAAATGAAAATAAAAACACGTTTACTTTCTCACCTTTGATCATGTAGTCTCTGAATTACACGGAACAAAATCATGCATTGGTCTCATGCCACCACTGACAATATCATGACTACATGCCCTCTCCATCGTCATCAGTATTTGTTATTCAGCTGCCACCAGCTGAGTATTTGAAATATAAAAAAGTAGATTTGACTGATTCCAAAGAACACAGGCTGAGCTGAAAGCTTATGGTACTGATTGCATTTTGCTGGTTATATTTACGAATAAAATATGCTATAGAGATTCATAATTGACATGTCACGTTCACAAAGGCACCATAATGACAAATGTAATCTTGCGTTCATAATGGCAGCGTCACAGAAACATCGAGTTAACACATTGGAGGCCGTCCTGGGTTTGAGCCCTGGTACTTGGGTGTCCGACCTTCTCAGTGTGTTTCAAAGTTGTCACGTTGGGTTTATAATAGCGATATCAGAACTGCTCTGCCCACACCATACTCTATTACAGATCAATTTTAGTTTTTTTTTCTTCAAATTTTCCACAATCTTATCCTGATGTGCTATCCGCGTTCTGTCATCAGATGAAGCATTCGTTCGGATGTGTCGTGGTGCAGTTGAACCGCTCCATGGCTACAGAAGCATACTCTACCGAGCTACATCTGAGATCCTTCAAAATGACCTCTGACCCACCGTGCCGCTGAGAGTGATGTTCGTCCCACAACAGTAAAACTCGTATTTTCAATTCTAGGAGTTGGAATTTTACCGCCAATGCTGAACCAAAATATAATGTGATGGGTTTTTTTTTGTGTGCAATCATTTGTGACCTTGCTTAGGTCATCACTCACACTTGTGAAAACCCGATCCTCTGAGCCACTCGGCTCACCTCTCTTTGGGTGTTTTTATTATTATTACTACTAAGAAAACCATGACCAACAGTTATAACAATAACTCATGGGACCGCCTTTATAAAATGTGAAACTTCACGTGAATAAACTGGTATTTTGCCGTGTCGGGTGGTGGAGGGTTACGACACATTTAGAAATAACGCGATCTAAACCCAAAAACGTAGATTATGAATAATATTGGTCGCGAAAGCCTACGTGTTAAACTGGTATTTTGCTGAAGGTCAGCCCTGGGGTGAATCTCCAGGTGAACTAAATGACGCTGTTTAATATGCACAGCAGTCAAGGAATTTAAAGTGCCCAGCCCCCATGGAGCCGAGCCATATCATTACTTATTAAGAAGTATCTGCACCAATTAACATTAACATTTTAAACTAGCCCCCAATTGACTTACACATTTGTTTTGGCATCGTATGTTTTGGTCTCTGCTACCCGATTAGCACCTCCCATTAGCATGGTTGGCTACCAAGGGCGCAAAAGAAGTTCCACGTACGTGCATTACATACCCTTACAATCATAATCTCTTTATCTGCACTTGCCTTCCTGAGGAATCCTCCCAAGTCCCGACATTTTATATCGAGATCCAGTCGCATTTAGCCACCGCTTGAACACAACTGTATAGTTGTTGCCAACGTTGACTATGATCAATCCACTCCTGAATGAAAGACCCCCCCCCCTCCCCACCTACTCAACTCAACTCAACCCCCCCCCCCTACCGTCATGCGGTGATCATGCGTGGTTTCAATCGGTAGGAATTGAATTGGCATGGTGGCCAAGGGCTGCTGATGAAATAGCAGCTAGAGGATACAGCGTGCTCGAGAAAGTGTCACGGCCATGTGGAGGTCGGTGCAACGAGGTCAGTCCGTGCGCAGGATGCGAATTTTGGCATCACGGGCCCAATGGCGGATGGAGACGGTACATGAGGCCTTCATCCAGCAGTGGGTAGATCATGGCTGACGACGACGATGGTGGCGTCCAATTGCACGGTATCCTCACGGTTACGATAATGTGCCCATTCTAGATTTGAAGCTTTCGTGACTGCAAGGATTCATATTCTTAGGTTTTTTCGGTAAAGTCACGTAGGTAAAACATTAAAATTAATAAAAGTAAAATAAAATAAAAATCACGATGTTTCGGAGGCAACACAAGCTTCCGTCTTCAGGTGGAACCGTCACAGCCACGACAGCTGTATCAAGTAAATGAGAGATTGCAGGAGCTACCACTCCGTTTATATAATGGTTGGAGAGGGGGGGGGGGCAAATAAAGCACACTTTTTATTCATATAGTAAGGTGAGTAAAAAGTGTGCTTTACTTGGCCCTTCCCCACCCCCCCTCTCCAACCATTATATAAACGGAGTGGTAGCTCCTGCAATCTCTCATTTACTTGATACAGCTGTCGTGGCTGTGACGGTTCCACCTGAAGACGGAAGCTTGTGTTGCCTCCGAAACGTCGTGATTTTTATGTTATTTTACTTTTATTAATTTTAATGTTTTACCTACGTGACTTTACCGAAAAAAACCTAAGGATAATGTGCCCATTTGTCTGGTGTAAAGCCGTCAAGAATTACAGCAGCTGTACTTTACAAAGAGTTCGCTAATTCTGAAAGGCACTGGATAACACATTATAGGTACCGTATTCAAGATGCGTCAGTGTTGATAACTCATGAGTAAGTGAATTGTGCGTTTAATGTGTCTCTTAGGAAAGCTCGTTTAGACTCTAAGAAACTAGGATAATAAAATACATTCTACCGTCTGATAGGGAATAAAGAAACTTAAAGTAATGAAACTTGATCTGAATTAAAAGTAATTAATCTTAGAAAACACAACGCCATTAAACGATGTCCGTTCGACCACAAAATCTGTCAATATTTTTTCATCATGGTGATTTATTTTTATTTGTGGGGTGCCGCTGTGGCGAGATGTTGACTCCCTTGCCTGTTATGCAGGAGGTCGTGGGTTTAATCCCAACCCTGACGCCAGTATATTAGGAGTTTGCATGTTCTCCCTGTGGTCGCGTGGATTTTTATCTGGGTCCTCCGATTTTTCCCTTCACATGTATAAACATGCGTTTAGAATATTTGGTTGCTATACATTTCCACTCGATAAGCCGCTTTCTTGAGCTATCTTTTGTTGGCCTGATCCAATGGCGGAGCCAGGATTTTCAGGTAGGGGAGGCAACCCCTCCAGCAATGAAAATGATAGGAGTTGTTAGTAAGTAAGGACTTGTCCCTTGCTTCTTATTCGACGCGTGTGCGGCGATGGCACAGCCATCGATCAAGGGTCGAATTCGAACCGCGTTGTGTGATCGGCATCGCGCTCGCTGAAGGTGAATGCCTTCAGGGAAGTCGTGTACTGTATACACAACTGCGCACAATTCTGTGGGTCACTTATAACTGATTATCTTTACTTATTTCCAATTATGGACTCAGACTATTGTTCTATCATCTCATAGAGTCACTGGCACGTAATAATATGCTACACGATGGCAGTGGGGGTCGCAAAATGCCGATTTATTAATAATAAACCCCAAATGATCCGATCGAAATCCCGCCAGTGGCCAAGTCGCTTCCTAAAAGGAGCTTAATAGCTCAATGGGTCTTACCTGGTAAAAGTAGCACAGTGGTATAGTGCACGAGGGGTTGACTCAGTTTCTTCATTTCTATCGGACTGATAAAAAATTAGTAGCACTGTGGGAACATCACTCATCATGGTTTCCCTATAGAAAATAAAACTTGCTCCCACCATAGAAATGTGGAATTTCCACCGCTGCCTTTGGGATGTATATTC